ATGTGAGCGAGCCTCCAGAGCAAGTCGGACAAAATGACTAACCATCATGCAACGTACTAGCAAGACGTTGATCGCAACTGCGCAGGTCTGCGCAGGTCTCGCTTGTCTCAAACAAGCCTACTATGTGCCCGTGATAAATACACACACACACACACACACACACACACACACACACACACACACACACACACACACACACACACACACACACACACACACACATTATTGTATATAGTTGAGTTTTGACAGCATCCATCAAACTAGATTTGTTGCCTTAATGGTCTTTTTTCTAATATTTCTGTGTTTCTGAACCATATCTGTGTCTGCATATAATGTTCGTATTTAGTCTCCTGATTTTAAATGGGAATTAAATAATTTGAGTGTTCCCAAAGAACCGGTGTTCTGCAGTGTGTGTGGGCCTACTGTACTGTTGCACAGTTTACTGTAGAAACTATGTCCAGGACAACTTGACAAGGTATTTGGAAGTTTTGGAAGATTCATAGCTAACCACACTGAAGATTATGGAGGTATTGATCAGTCTTCTCATATCTCTAACATCACCAGAAGTCATAATTTAAGGGGTCATTTCTCAAAATTTCCCCTGTGTGGTTTATTCACCATTACAATAGCCCCACCTAAAATAATTTCCACCAGTCGCCACTGACTGCGTTGATCCTAATCGCGCAGGTCTTGAACTTTTATTTTGAAATCCATACATGCAAAGTAAAAGGAAGTCGAATTACGCGCATGCGCAACAGCCACACACGTTGTGTTGCGCATGCGCGTAATTCGACTTCCTTTTACTTTGCATGTATGGATTTCAAAATAAAAGTTCAAGACCTGCGCGATTAGGATCNATTAAATATCAAATACTAAAAACAACTAATAGCTAATTTCTCATCGTACTAAATAAAATGATGTGTGTGTGTGTCTCTGTGTGTGTGTGTGTGTGTGTGTGTGTGTGTGTGTGTGTGTGTGTGTGTGTGTGTGTGTGTGTGTGCTAGCTCCTCGGTGTTCGCAGTCTACTTTAAACATAAAGACCTTGTTTTTCCCCCCTTCACATTGACCTCTCACCCCATGATTAAATGTTGTTAGAAGTGTCATTTTTTTCTCGTCAGATAACTCACATTTAAGAACTTCACAGATGAAATCCTTTTGGGGTTTTTCATGGTTGCCGTCACAGAGGCGGTCTCCAGGTCGTAGATGTTCACCTCGTCGTTCACCACGACCACATATTTATCCCCATCAGGAGACCATCGGACTATGTGTGCGTCTGTTAGAAGTGTAAAAGAACAATTGATTTCAAACACACTGATCACACATTCATTAAAGAACTTGAACAGTCCTTAATTAGAGAATTAAAAAAGGAGGCTTACTCCGTTTTATGTTTTTGATGAAGGCCGATCTTCCGTTTGTTAGATTCCATGTTCTAAAAAGGGATACAAACATGCAAAAGTTATTTCTTTAAATATATTTGTCTTGTTAATACATACTGCTATTCCTATTTACAAGACCATATTTGTATAGGTTTAAAAAAAGATTAGCAAGCAACAGATGCTTATCCCAATTTAACTGAAAAGATAATATCATAAAAACTATAAAAGAATGATTTAATACGATTGTCTTTTTGTGATTTTACCTGAGAGTTTTATCTGTCCCGACTGAAAGTGCAATTTTTCCAGACGGATGGACGGACAGCGACGTGACCTGACCTCTGAGGAAAAACAGGTAGATAAAGAGAGTTCATTTGAGTCGTCGTGGCAATACAAATCCAAGACAACACTATCACGTGCTACAAGTGCCACTGCAGCATCTCTCTCTCTCTTCTCTCTCTCTCTCTCTCTGCTTACTGGTGAGCTTTGATGGATTTCAGACAATCCCACTTCTTCGTGCCCCAAACACAGATGAGTCCATCCTCTCCTCCGCTCAGTAAATGAGACGTCCCGTAAAACTCCAGGCAGGAGATGGTGCCTGCATGACAGAGAAGTTGAGCTCAGGTGCGCAAACATCAAGCTAGAGTCTTTTCATTTCTTGGTAAAAAGCGAACAAGGTCAATTCTTTGATGATTATTTAAACTTGATTGATGGGCTAGCAGTATAGAAAATGTAACAAAGTCTATCACACCAACGGGATAAAAGTGCCCCAACAGCCATTTAAACATTACAAATCAAGAAACAAAAGCCGTTTGCTACAGCACTTTTACCAGAGATCTCCATGCCACTAAGCCACAGCTACTCCTGCCATATTGTAGAATTGGTGTTCATGACTTGATGTTAAATAGGTGATATCCTGAAGATGTCTCACCATCGTGATGCAGCAGGGCTCCGTGTTCGATCTTCTTCTTCATGTCGTACAGCTGGATGGTCTCATCTTTGCTTCCTGTGACCACAAACCTCTCGCTGGCTGCTGCGGCTGATATAGACGCTGTGTGGGCGTGATGAGTGAACTCTGCCTTCGCTGTCCACTCCTGCAGGACAAACAATAAATACATGTTTTCAACGGTATAGAACATTTTAAGGGGATTTGTTGTTGTTGGTGATAAAGTGTTTTATTTTCCTTCCTTTGTTTAGACATTTTGCCGTTTATTTCTTAAGATATTTATATATTATGATCTTTAATAAGCTTATAGTGGGTTTCGACCTCACCTGCAGAAGTATTATTTTTTTCGTCAGATTTTTCCTTTTAAAAATTAACAATATAAAATAGTTATTTATTTAAAGGACAGTAAACAATGTCCCATTTAAACCATGGTTTCTTATAGTGCTTTTGAATGTAATTGATCCTTTCAAATGTATTTTGTATCTACACCCAAGTCTGTTAATGTGATAACTTATTAATTGACTGTCCATCATTCCTTTAAAATACATCCTATGGTCATAGCATCACACACAAGTTGTTTTACCCTGTTGTACATCAATCACAGCGACAGACGCGTTTTTAAGAAACTACAGCTTAGACCCTTTTTGCTAAATAACTAACAACTAATAAATAACTTTAACTTACTGGTTCATCAGTGTTAACTCTGTACCCAAAGGTGACCTGCTCGTAGCTCCCAGCTATCAGCCCCAGTACAGCTGCCATGCTGTCGCTGCACAGGGCTAAGCTATCAGGCTAGTTAGCTTTCTTTAAACTTCAGCTTCCCTGTCAACTAGATTTAGCAACAGCTAATAACAGGTAATGATACTCCAAAATAGGAAACACATGCGAAACAACGATAAAACACGTAAAGAGTTGGTCAATCTATTAAAACACGGAAATATGTAGCTACGTTTTTTGCGTTAACAACTTCCAAAACAACGTGTGTGGCTGTTGCGCATGCGCGTAATTCGACTTCCTTTTACTTTGCATGTATGGATTTCAAAATAAAAGTTCAAGCGCAGTTGACTGCTCAAACCACTGAGCAGGCAGGATTGATTTGAAATGATTGGATGACATGACCTTTTTTTTCGTCCCTTGGAGATAGGGGGGTGTCCCTACACAACAGGCTTGTTTGAGACAAGCGAGACCTGCGCAGACCTGCGCGATTAGGATCAACGCAGTCAGTGGCGACTGGTGGAAATTATTTTAGGTGGGGCTATTGTAATGGTGAATAAACCACACAGGGGAAATTTTGAGAAATGACCCCTTAAATTATGACTTCTGGTGATGTTAGAGATATGAGAAGACTGATCAATACCTCCATAATCTTCAGTGTGGTTAGCTATGAATCTTCCAAAACTTCCAAATACCTTGTCAAGTTGTCCTGGACATAGTTTCCACAGTAAACTGTGCAACAGTACAGTAGACCCACACACACTGCAGAACACCGGTTCTTTGGGAACACTCAAATTATTTAATTCCCATTTAAAATCAGGAGACTAAATACGAACATTATATGCAGACACAGATATGGTTCAGAAACACAGAAATATTAGAAAACAGACCATTAAGGCAACAAATCTAGTTTGATGGATGCTGTCAGAACTCAAATATATACAATAATATGTGTGTGTGTGTGTGTGTGTGTGTGTGTGTGTGTGTGTGTGTGTGTGTGTGTGTGTGTGTGTGTGTGTGTGTGTGTTTGTGTGTGTGTGTGTG